TTCAACGTCACGCCAACTTAAGATCCATATTCAAAACTACAGATTCAAAATTGTACAAGTTGAAGCGTTTGTTTTAACAGTTTGCAGGAGGCAAGTACTTGCTTTCAAGCAGAACACAGGGAAAAACAAACTTAGCGGGAGTGTTTACGTGTTTGGTGTAATGACGTAAACCGGCCTCGACAACGTCTAATATATTGCTTTCCTGCAATGTTAACTATGTTTAAGCACTTATTTTAACTGATATTATACATATGTATTATACTCTTATAAGATGTATGTAGATAGTATAAGAAATGTGCAGAATATGACAATGTAATGGTGGAGGTACACACATATTGATAGATGTCTTGTAATGCACCGTAGTTGTGTATAATATATGTCAATAAACCTTAGAAAATCTTGAAATCTTGAATGGGATGTGCAAAATAGTCATTATACAGTCTTTAATTAACTATTAGTAGAGAATAACGACGAGTAAAGAATATACTTTATAGGGATCCTATTAATATCTAATAATACAATTATAAAATGCAATAAAATACAGCCTATCTACCAATTGGATCAAATATAAAATTCAGCCGAATTAGTGTTGATACTGCAAGGAGACGTATTGTGTGAAAAGAAATGTAAGATATTGTTTAATTGCTTATATATTTAAGATCCACGTCAAGTTTTTCAAGTTTTTTTGGCGGCAGTTCCTGTTTGTCTAGAAGTCTTCTCATCAGGGCTCTATAAATAGAGTTAACTACGGCAGATATGTCATATTTAATGCAGCCGAAACGTGTATTACAATGCCGTTATGTGATGACTTTCAAAGAGAAAAGCAAGCACACTCGGAATAATGTATTATTTAATTTATTTTAAATGTTTTCGGATTTCACATCGCATAAACACCAAATCCCAGCGTGCATAGCGGAATATCAGTATGAGAAAAACGGCATCATCTGTCCTTTGACCCTCACATCGTACAAGGAAAAACTTCCAGAGAAAAACTCACAGTTAATATACACACATTCCTTCACATTTGAATTTGAATTTACATTAAAGTATTTTGTGAGGACTTCTAACATGTTTTTAAATATAACTACGGTTGTAGTTGAGTTTGTAAATTAACATGAACCGAAGCTGTTGCCTTTTGCAATATACAGTCTATGGTTGCTACAGAGGATTGTGGGTAATGTAATGTCTTTGGCCATCCAAAACTCATAGAAAACTACTTGTTTCTCAGAATTGAAGGGGGAAACGTGACAAAAGCATTGTACACACACTAAAACCTATCAATGTCGTTTAATTAACAAGGATAATCTGGTGTTTTTGAGTTGATGAGTAGTGGAGATATCACTGTCAAATCAATCGACAGTAAGGGGAATACTTACTTCCGGGTGTACAATTCTCCGTTATCCAATGGGAATGGACGCTCACATTGCCTTTAACAAATGCCGACACAAACGAATGCCGTGCTTCCATGAGCGTCAAATCCCGCCGCAGATGGGAATACATTGCAATCAGTTGAAAGCTATTTGCGTCTGTTTATGAAGCTGAAGGAGCCTAGGAGCGTCCCAACTGCATGCCACGGGACCCTGACCAAGCGTCGCTCCTGGACGTTTATGGAGTGAGCGTGTGTTGGTATAACACCCTTATTACTTATCGTAAATGCAAATCCAACCCATCGATTAGCATCGTGAGAGTACACAGAATCGATAGGTATATATATCATCACTCCATGATAAGAACTTGCGACTTTATAAACAAAAACAGACATCAAAACACGTGGCGCTAGGTAGCCAAAACGAGAATATGTCTTACCTTGGTCGTTGTCTGATCAAAAGTTATCTTCAATGGCATTAAAACGATAAAAACGCTGCTGAAGGTTAATCCATAGGTTAATCCAATGTGTCTGTGTCACTTTGAAATGATTTCTGATAATCCATAAGCAATAAACCTACTTTTCCGTTTTCAGATTTCAGAGCGTGAGACAGGTTTCGATTTTGGGGAAACTGCATGCGCATAGCCCCCACTTTTTTTTGGTAACGTTGGTGTGTATGTGGAAATTCCCCTTTGATTCTATTGGCTCTAACGGTTAAAAAGAGATGTCAATCATCAAAATCGACCAATGGGTTTCAGAGAAACGGCAAAAACGCCCATTTCCACCCAAATGACCCCAGAGGTGGAGTTTTTTTTGCTAAATCTCTCTAAAAAGGTCAAGTGTCACTTGTTTTGCATCAATCTTGATACAGGGTACTTATTATATGTTGTACTTTGGATTCCTAAAGCTTTTAGTCTACCATCCCATCATTCAAGGTTGGTTTTCACTATAAGTAAAAAAGAATTTTTGGACGGACACTATAATTTACAGTTTTTTACTAAATTCAATCTGAATTTTCTTTAAAATAAAAAACATCTACAGTATATTGATTCTGACTTTTCTACATCCAACTCACAGGTTTATCATTACTTTGAGAAAAAAGATTATAAATGTTCCCCTTATGGAAGTGTAATTACGAGTGGACTGTGATATTACAATATAAATGAAATGGCATCGATTATTGTACACTATAATGAAATAAAAAGACTTTAAAAAAAAAAAATTTAAAAAAGAAGTGTTAGTAGTTGTTAATTTGTTCTGGAAATGTCATTTTCGAGCCTGAGACCTGAAAAACAGGCTCGGGCAGAACAGGTTAACTCAAATGTGTGTTATTACTGTCTATGAGTTGCAATAAATATGAAAAAAAAGGGGGGATTTTGTTCAGCGCTCAGTATCTTGCTGCCATCAGCCTCGTGCCTCACCGGAAGTCCCGCATTTGCTGGCTTTTGATGCTTTGAGTGTTACAAAACCTTGGTGTGCCTTTTTTTTTCTTTTCTGAAGAACCTCACTTAAATAATGTAACAATTGAGGATTCAAACATGTTAAGCTTTAGCAATACAAATTAAAGGATTAAAGGATTTTAAGGATTAAGAATGTCATGCTGCTGTGGATAATTTTCCTTTCATCAACAAACATGTTTCTTCTATCATTTTGTTTGGGTAGCTTCAGGTGATGAATAATTTGACAAAGATTGACCCTACCAATTTGCGAACAATATCTACTTGGTTGGAGTAAGAAACAAGGAATGTATCTATAATGAGGTAGGAGGCAGTGGAGTGTTGAGCTTTGGAGAGGGTGGGTCTGGAGCCAATGAGCAGGGCCTCTGTTGTGTTGCCATTGAGTTTGAGGAAGTTCCTGCTCATCCAGCTCCTGATGTCCTGGAAGCAGGTGATGAGAGAGGTGAGCGGCAGGGCAGTGTTTGGTTTGGTGGAGAGGTTCACCTGTGTATCATCGGCATAGCAGTGGAAGTGGACATTATGAGGATGTAGGATAGTGCCAAGGAGAAGGAGGTATATGATGAACAGGAATGGACCCAATACTTACACTTGAGGGACACCCGGTTAGACAGTGGAGCACCTTGACCTGTGGTTGTTGAGTTGTAAGAAATAAATCATATTAATGCACATGCTAAATGCATTAAAGTAACCTGCAGGTCCAATCATTTGTGTCCTTTTGACTCTGTCACAAAGTTACACACTACTGCTCTGGTGTCTCAAAAATAACACAAAACCTAAAAGCAATGCATGATCCAATAGGATGCTGTAAATTAATCGTTCATTTATTTTGGAATTCAACCCTCTCTTTGGTTCCATTCACTTATTAGCCACAGCTTTACTCTAATGCCTGGCTTGGCGAACTCCAACGCAGCGCCCTCGCAATCAAATTGGAAACATACGCTTACCTTCTGCAGCTCTTAAAAAGATACTTGGCTCTGCAGGTTGATTTCCTTTCTTATTCTGCAATGCAAGGTTCTTTTATTACCTGCTGTTGAATATTAATACGATAACAATGGCCGTGTAATGCTCTGTAATCCATAAAGTTTCCCTTCCTCCATGAAACATGCAAAGTCATAACCTCAATATGGTGCCCATGTTGGTTTAAAGCCTCCTGCTGTGGGAGGCTACAAAGGAAAATGTTCAAGAAAGTTAGAACTCCAAATGGCCACACCACTACCACTGAGCACTAGTCACCAGTTCTTCCTTATATTATTCAACAGGTCACTGTTCATTCTGTGTTATGTTGCAGCAATGCGATCTACCAATCACAGCCAGACCTTTAACAAAACCCTTTTAACTTTTTATATTCAAGTGAAATTCTGCAACTGTTGAGAGTGAAACCCAAGATACACTGTAGACGCTAGATCCATTGATTTCCAATAGAGGGGAAGAGATGAATGAACAGAATGCAACAAAAGTGGCATTATAAATTGGTTTCCTGGTTCACAGAGTTTGCTCCAAAACCCAGTTTCTGGGTTTCATTGAAATACATGGGTTTCAAATGTGTTTTCTCTTAAGCAAGCATGTCGGTGTGGGCCCACAAAAACAAACCAAATGACCGAACAGCAAAACCAGTGCTACCCAAAACTACTGTCTTTTAGTTACCTTACTACACTTAGTAACTTAATAATAACAGAATAAGGAGTGTAGTGGGGTTATGAAGTAGTATGGTATGGGAGTTGTTGTCTTTACGAACGTTTCAGTCAGTACTGGCAGCTTCTACTACTGAATTTCTTCAGTGTTCATTGTTCAGGAGTTTTTTACCTAAAGCCACATTTTCCATAGAAGTTTAATCTACAAAAGTAACCAACCTGCGGATTTAAAACTTGTGAAAACACTGAATATTTATTTAAGAACGAGATGTCCGATAGCTAATAACTTCTTCCGGTTAAAAATATAAAGTTAAAGACAAAAAATATCAAAAAGTATTGTAACATTGTGGTTTAAACTCGGGAGAAAGTTAACTTATGACAGCTTCCAGCTAACGCATGCACAAAGACGAGGCCATTTTAGTGTAGGTACACAACTCAACCAAATATATAAGAGGTGTAGTCTTGTAGCGCAAATGGTACTTATTATACATTTAAGCTTAAGACGTGTCTTTCTCAGTCAACTAACCTGTTACCATTTCTCTACAGCTACTACAACTGGAAGACACAGGTGTCCACGTCCAACTCCAGCCCTAACTTTGAGGTAATTTATGACGACCCAAACGGCCTTCTCTTCAAGAACAAGAGGGACAAAAAGATCCTGAATGTGGACCCCATGGTAGGTGTTTGTTTATGTTGTTGTCCTGTGTTTTTGTAAGCCCCAGGGAGACAAATGGCACTGCTAATGAGATAAGTTCACCTGTTCCACTGCTTTAAAAAGGTCCCTGAAAAGCAAAAAGGCAATAGGGGCAGAAAACATTTGTTAAAGTATTTGTGCTTATCAAGGAAACAAACTGTGTTTCTCAATTCACTTATTTGCAATGTCCCATCCCCCTTATTTTCTAATATGTACTGGGGTCTTTGTTTGCCGACAATGCCATTATATTACTTCCAATGTATATAGTTGTAACTATCAAATGCAAAGAAACATTTAAAGTTATTTTAAAGTTACTTTGCCGACTTTATTAATTGCCTAGTTCGTAGCAACAATTGACCCCGAGATTAAACATGTTTTTGAAGGAGCTTAGAGCAAAGGGTTATCAGTTGGAGGGACTAAGAGAGGAGTAAATCAGTGTGAAGGAAAAGTATTTTGCTTTCCACCTGCACAAAGAATGGAGGATCAAGGGGTCGAGGCAGGTGCTTCCTCCATGCTCAGAGTCTGACAGGGGCCCTGGAAGACTAACGACTGACAGACTGTGTTTTGTTTTTTTCTCCAGCTCCCCTCTTTGCTGGGGGGGGGGGTTGGGAAGAAGTTGGTGTGGGGCTGAACTATTTTGAAATTGCAGACAGAGTTGTGGGGACTGCGTGTTTGAGGCCAATCGCCAAAATGGCAGCACAGTGTTCTAGCTGCGGTTGAGCACCGCCCCGACCAGGCTGTCTATTAAAAACACAAGAGAAGGCATAGGAAGCCAGACACAGCAAACCACCCGTGTGCCCAGACACTGGCCCAGATTGGCTCGGCACGGAGCAGAACAGAACCATCTGGCTTTTAACCCAGTGTTAGCTCAATCATGTGCCCACAGATAGGCAGTGCAACCTTCCAAAATGAATTCTCACATCAACTCACTTTGGGTGGTTTGTTTGTTTTTCTGCTTGTGTAATCCTAGCCAGAAAGTGGGTTTGGGGGTGGAGGGGTTTTAATTGTTCAGTTATAACCATGGCTTGATTCAATCTAAGTAAAAGTTTTAAATGTCTTAGATTATGTGAGTGTTAATTGTTGTTTTCCTTACAAACAGATGCTTATCATTTAGTTTACCCAGCATTTCCCAAAGGGTCCATAAAGTCATTTTTTTATTGGACCATTTTTATTTACGCTCTTTTGAACCTGCAAAGGAAGACCGACTCACTTATTAGGATACCCACAAGTGTGTTTGAGGTAAAAGTGTAAATTGAGTGTAATGGTTGGCTATGGATCCACTCCCACTAGAAGCTTTTGACACACTTAGCCTTGAATAAATGTTCCCAGCTGTTAGTGGCTTCACATCTTAGTGGTGGGGCCGTATCAGATTTGACATTCACAGTTCACAATACCTCTTATTACAAAGAAATGTGTTTCGATATCTGAGGCTTTGCTTAATTACACATCCATGGCTGGCAAAACAATTCACTTTGCATGCACCTTGTAGTCCATCAAGCCCTACTAACCACTCTTACTCTGTGCTGGGTTCCAGTCTGGTCCTGGTGAGGACTCCAACCGGACCTTCCTACAGTCGGACCTCTACATCCATGTCGTCATCTACGACCACAACATCAGGACGGTCTGATCTTCAGAGGCTGCTGCCGACACAGTCATACATATGGCACATATTGGAGAGTGCTGGAAGCCTCTAATTTGACCAAGTGGCTGCAGTTGCACCGTCATTTACAAACTGTTGCCCTCATATCATGCATGCCATCTGGGTGGAGGTGCTGCAGTGGAAAAATTGGCTTTTAACGTTGGATTCCCAGATGGACAAGTGGATGGACTAGTGTGACAAGTTCACTGGCAAAATTCCTTAAAAATGTCAACTTATACTTCAGATTTTTTCCTCCCATTAAGTTGTATTACCATTGTATTATAGAGTTGTTTGACTACCTAATTCCCCTAAATGAAGACCCTTAGTTAATTTGGGATTCCCCAGAGGAATGGAATAGGCTTGCTCTGGGAGCCCGGGCTCGTCCCGTCGTTTAGCCTGGCATGTTTTGGGCTGTTTGTCTAAACAAATTAAAGGCGTAAGAGCTTTGAAAGATGATGGGGGCGGCTTTTTATGTCCTCCCCCAGGCTGCGGCAGCTCCAATTGGACTGGAAGAATGGGTAATGGGCTTAAAGCATTCCGCATGTTCCCAGATGCAAGGCACACTTTGCAGGACATCAAAGTGCCCTATCATTTACATATTAGTCATTCACTGAAGAAGACATTTCTTTAAATAACCCGCGTCAGGAAGTTATTTCGAAACTGTAGGCAACTTTGCTTCCTTTTAATTTATTTTATGCATTTATTATTGAAACATATGATATAATCTGCCCCCCTACAAGCTTACAAATTACAGGGCCTTTATTATGTATTCATAAATGACTATTTAGACATGTAGTTGAGAGGTAAAAAAATGGAAACCTGCAAAATGTAGTCCATATACATATCTTAACTTTAACTCCCCACAATTTCCCCACATTCTTTGAAATGCTCCTAAAAGAAACTTAAAATATAGGTAATCCACAAAGTCCAGCATTGGTGTACCTTAACAGAAATAAAGGTTCCTTATCATGTTATCTCGTTACAAAAGATGCATTTAGAACAAGACAAATACACGTCTTAAGAAAAATAGTTTGACATGGTCTTTTTGAGTTAGATGGGGATAGCCCTTCTTCTGTCTGTGTGGTAAATATGTAACTGCCAGAAGCTTAGTTAGCTTAGTTTAGTTAGCTTAGCTGAATTTAGCTTAGCATAAACACTGGAAATTGGGGAACAACTAGTCGTTCCTATGGTTTAAAAATCTGCCCACCAGCAAATCTCAAGCTTAATTATATAAAGCGTTATATCTCATTTTTGTTTAATCAATACAAAAACCATAGCTGTGGTTTAACATGGGGGTTGTGTCACACTGTTTCATGGACTTCCTGGATTATCTATACATTTCCTGGCCATGATGTTTTTTTGTACTTTTGGACAGAGCCAGGCTAGCTGCTTGGCCCTGCTTTCCATCTTTCCATTGCACTTATAGTCTCCTTTAGGTTAATATAACGCATAGACAAGAATCAAACCTTTCCTTTAAACTCAAGCCATATTCAACCTGCCGTGGTACTAATTTGAAGTTACGAGGTTTTAAACAAATGAGTAAATTCTAACAGAAACCTCTAATGTCCCTCTGCAACCCGGTTACCAGAGCAGCTGCATCTGTTTTGACTGAATTGGACCCTGTTGGCCATATGTGTGGTGTGGTGACACATGGATGTGGGTTCTGGTTCTGTAAAAGCAAGGGTTTGGGGAATGGGGGTCTGGTTTTAGGTTTTCTTAGTCAGTTCATTTTTGTTCTTTTTTTCTTAAAAAGGAGATGTTAAATCTCAGTCTGTTGTGGCATAATGATGAAATAAATGTGAATAAGTATTCCAGAGTTTTAAATAACACCAATATTGGCATTGGGCAGTTTCTTCCGTCATCATTACACATTGTCCCGAATGTGTTGTTATTGTTATATGTCTTTAAATATAGTGTAACATGAAGTATATAGAAATGTAGCTGTTCATGAAATAAAAAAGGCTCTGAAAAACAGGTTAGTCTCTGCTTTTGTCTCAACAAAACTAACTGGACTAACAAGGATGAGAAGCACATTTACATTTGGCAAAGGATTGCTTTGGGGAATGTCATTTCCTCTTCGACCTCTTTGTCAAAGGCCAGATGATTTAACCTCGGGGCTGTCCACCTGCCACGATCTGCCCTGCTTTGTGTTTCGGTCACAAGAATTCAAACTGGCCGGGTGGCAAATGAACATTTCCCCCTCATCTACAGCTGTTTAGCTTTAGAGACCACTGCTCCTTCATGTGGCTCGTCCATGGTGATGAAACAGCTCTCCCTCCTTTCAAAGTGGAATCAGTCGCTCAGAACACCTACCAATCAAAACAGCTCGTGACAAATGGGCGCTTTAAAATGCCGGTGAAAATGCTATTTATATGTGCCGTACTTCTGTGCAAGACCATAAAAACTAAAAAAAAACGAGTTGCTGGAACTCAGCCAGACAAATCATGTGTCTCTAAATAGTAATGATTTCACAATAAAATCTAATTGAAATGCTTATATCCCTCTTCATTCATTTTATTGGGCTTTTAAGCAGCAGTTGGGTTTTTACTGAAGCATGGTTTTATTAGTTTGAGGCCTGGACTTGCCCCTAATATACACAAAATGAGGTAAAGAGGTGGATTCAAACTCTTCTCTATATACATTTACAATTTCAGTTCCAAATTAATTTCAGGTATCTTCATGAAGTTTGGACTCTTGTTATAAAATGTTTCATCCTTATGTGTTTGACAATTACAATCTGCATTAATTACATATTAACCAATTCACTTCATTTTAGTTTCATGCTATTCTCATTTTCACAATTCTTTGAACCATTGATTGGTTGTCAACTATTTAATTTACCGCCAAATGGAATGGGAATATACCAATATGTTTATTTGATTGAATGTACCTTTTATTCATATTATATCGACTTTTTATTTTCACCTGCAGTAAAATAAAAATACAACTAATAAAGAAAACAAAGATGAACTAAGTATATTCAGAACCATGGGCATTAATATCTATGAATACTAATTAAAACTCACTTCATGTTTTTAATTGTGTTTTTTTTACATGTGCTCCATTCAAAAAGAGTGCACAATAGTTTTCCTGGAGTTTTAAAACCCATAATATCAATTGAAGCTACAAAAATGATTTATTATGTGAATGTTGATAAGCGTTTTTATTCAGTTTCTCCATGATAACACAACACATCCAGACATACAGTGCATCTCAAAGGTTTGAAGAGGCCTCCTGTTAAAGGATCACTTTTAGTTTTAAAGGGGCCATATTGTGCTTTTTGGGATTGTCTCTTTCCTGTAGTGTTATTTAGGTTTGTGTGCATGTAAATGGTCTGCAAAGGCTAAAATCCTAAAGTTCCCTCCAGAGGGAGTTTCTCTCCAACACTATGCTGAAACGCCTCCATTGTAGTCCTTTTTACTTCAGTGACATCACTATGTGTGCTTCTATTGGTTAGCGCTCCAACACAGTATGTGATATGCTATGGGGCGGGTCATTTCCAACACATCTCTAAAAGGTTGACCAATCACAACAGATCCGGCCAGCAAACCAATCAGAGCAGACTGGGCTCTGGTTTCAGACAGAGGGTGAAAAGAGGTGCTGCAGCACAGGCAGTATGAGAAAAATAAAGAGCTTTTTGAGCATCAAAGCATGGAAACATGAGAGGCATAAAATACAAATATGAACCTGAAAATGAGCATAATAGGGCCTCTTTAAGCAAAAGTCAGCTGCCCATGCGTACCTAACAGTGGTCTGAGCTAATTCCTCCAGTGCATAGATCCAGTCCTACTTAAGTGATGGGTGAAAAGATGATTTAAAATAACAATATGAGGCTTCAGTGTTCAGAATGTGACAAACCACATCGTCTCCTCAAGTGTTAATGTCTTACTTGTGCACAACATGTGAAAAATATATATTGTTCTGAGTTGATCCAGTCTGATTTTCATTCTGCTGCTGTTCTTGTTTTAACTGATTCTCTCCTGCCCATCTCCTGCTAGTTGAAGGGGTTAAACCCCCATATAGAGGACATGGCATGCTAATATTATTGCCATCAGATGTTCAAGGGCGGGGAAATACCCTAATCATTTCCTCCCGAGTGCCCCTGAAAGAGAAGCCCGTGGCGGGGGGTGGAGGGCGGCATGGTGTTTAAACCCCGCCTGGATGGGCTGTTTTGGAGGGGGACGGTGGGGAGAAGGGGAGGACAAAGTACAGCATCCGGATCGGACGGTGATGGTACAGGATGTGTGTGCTTAACTCCATTGAACTAAACTAAATAGGGGAGAGATCCTTTAATGCCGACAATAAGCCGCTTCATTCAGCAGCGCGGCCCAGACGCACAGCTCTGCGGAGTAGAATTTACGCACGGAGCGGCTGCTCTGTGGCAGCCGTTCAGATATTCAAATGTGTTCAATACATCGGCGGAATGTCACGTAATACAATATTTTAGAAGATCCGTCTCCAGTCAAAAAACAGCATTAGATATGTCCCCAGGCTGAATGTGCGTAAAACTACCCTGAACAGGAAACTCTTCTCTCTGTGTGTGTGTGTGTGTGTGTGTGTGTGTGTGTGTGTGTGTGTGTGTGTGTGTGTGTGTGTGTGTGTGTGCGTGCGTGCGTGCGTGTGTGTGTGTGTGTGTGTGTGTGTGTGTGTGCGTGCGTGCGTGTGTCAGAGAGAGAGAGAGAGAGAGAGAGAGAGAGAGAGAGAGAGAGAGAGAGAGAGAGAGAGAGAGAGAGAGAGAGAGAGAGAGAGAGGAATACCCAGCTGGTCCCACAAGTCCTATAATACCAAGCACAACATGCTTTACCTTCAATGAAAGCTGAGACGGGGGGACGGTTGACTGCTGGCCTGAAATCAGTTCATAGCTCGGGTGCAAAACCAAATGCGTCGCTTTTTTAGCAGCCTGCTTCTGCCGCATCTGTTGCACCTTCTCCAGCGCTCCAATACTGTTATCATTTAACTTTAACAGCCCTGAGAGACAATTTGGATAACGCTCTCATTTTCCCACCTCCTTCTCTTGCTGTGCCTGGTGTCAAAGGTGATGGTATCATTTTCTAAGAGAGGACTCCTCAGGTGATGGTATGTTTTTCCGGAGGTAGAGACCACATTTGGAAACGTGCTAGACTTTCCACAAATTGTTATTTTTTCTGCTTCTACCTTCACTTTGGCTCGAGCATGGCTCTTTACTCTCGGTTCGTGGTCGTGCTGCTCTACGGATGGAGTTATCTGTGCGTTGGATACTGCGCGATGCTGAAAACAGACAGTTTCCCAGACAAACGAAAGGTGGATTTTACGCATTCAGAGGATAAAAAGCACCCTGCGAAAGACGACCAGGATCTGCTTTTACAGGATACAATGACGGAACACATGCAGATGCTTTACGCGAAGTACAACCGGGCTGGATTTCCCTTCAAGGACGGCAACACTGTCCGCAGTTTCAAAGCGCAATGGGGTAGGTGCCCAAACTTTTACGCATGTTATCAACACTGCCAGTGGAGGCATATGCATTGTTGCGTAAATGTTGGTTAATATAAACTGGATCTGGTAACGTCTCCTGCATTGCTTAGTTGTAATTATCCGCAAATTACAAGTGCAACGAGGTGTGTGGCCACACAATTTATTCGCATACCAACAAATGCTTATTATCCTCATTAAGGTTTTTAAAATCCTCAAAACCTGAGCCATTGACGTCCTGGTGTACTGAGCTGAAACCGAGATACACCTGTTGATCCAGTCATGGAAATATGATCAACCTGTTACCCATTCCCTGCGCCAAAAGCAGAGAGATCTCTGTATGCAAAATCCTTTCCCGAAGCATTTTTCTTCTCAGATTTAAGTGTCAGATATTCCAGATAGATTTCTCCGGAGCCAGCATCTGGCAGATGCCCAGCCTGCATGTGTTCCGTTAGAATCTGGGAGATTTCACCGCAGTGAGTCTCTGCATTTAAGGGGATTTTGATAGTTGTTGTTTTTTCCGGGAACTTTGGTAGTAACTTCAATCTTATAAGCTTTTAATTGCTACGGTGTGGAATTATCACTTGAACATGTGCACTATTTTCAGTTTCCACTACCAGTTTCAAAGTTTGTTGGACTACACTGCCTCCTATGGCTAGCTGTATGTCATGGTTTTAAAAGGGTCAGTTCACCTACATTACAAATATATATCTATGCAGACAGTTTTGGTTTAATTTGCCAAGGTTGTAAAGTATTTTTAGAACTATGCTTCTATCCCACATTAATAGAGATTAATGGAGTTCTCTTTATGTTATAAACAAAAAATGAAATATTTAATTTTTTCATTTATAAAGAGGTATAGGCCAACACCACCCTGTTACTCTGGATGATCTGCACACATAACTGTCAAAGTTGTTTAGTTAAAAACTAAACTTGAAGAAGGGATAGCTTTTTGAATGTTTTGAAGAGTATTGGGGAGGGAGGGAGATAATGAAATATTTTATAACCTGAGCAAATGAAACTTTATCTGTAAAATGTTAGACCATCAAAAAGTGAATTCAAACATATCATTATGTCAAACATTGTAAAAGGGAAAATAGGGAAGTTGGTTAGTTCCGATGTCCTGTACAACTGTGTTGCATTTTGTAATTAATATTATTCGTTATTTACACAGGTACGATAAACAACAAGCAGCTGCAGATTTTCAACCTCACCGCCCTCACCAAATCGGAAGACGTTTTGTCTGCCACTCTTCATTACTACATCGGAGACCTTCAGAACAGAACCCAGGGCTGCTCCAGGTCCAAAAGCTGTGGTCGCCATGGCCCCCGGAGGCACAACCACATCCACATGGTCATATGGAGCTTTGCCTCGGTGGATAACAAGATAAGGACTCTTGGACACTTCCAGATCAACGTGTCCACCCTCTACAGGGACTTCATATCCTGGCAGTGGAAGGACATAACTCGCGTGGTCAACCAGGCCAAACACCACGACGAGCTGCTCATAGGGATCGATGTGGCTTCACAAGGGCCCCAGCAGTGGAAGAAGCTCCTGTCTGACCGCTCGCCCTACATCTTGGTTTACGCCAATGACTCTGCCATTTCAGAACCTGAAAGTGTGGTAGCCACCCTCCAGAGACACCACTCGGTGGGAGGAGAGGGCTCCATTTCCCAATTGGGACTGCGTGAGCAAAACAACACTGAACAAGAACAACCGCAGGCCAGAAACAAGCGCTCAGTGAATGTTCTGCTCCCGTTGCAGAACAATGAACTCCCCGGGCCCGAGTATCCATACGAGACGACCGGGTGGGATGAGACGAGTCCGTACGAAACTTTTGAAAACAAGCAGGCCCGTCGCCCACGTAAAAAGACACGCAAGAATCAGCGGCACAAGATGCCTCTGCTTCAGTTCGACGAGCAGACGATTAAAAAGGCTCGAAAGAAGCAGTGGAACGAGCCTAGGAACTGTGCTCGGAGATACCTGAAAGTGGACTTTGCTGACATTGGATGGAGTGAATGGATTATATCACCAAAGTCGTTTGATGCCTACTACTGCTCAGGGTCTTGCCAGTTCCCCATGCCAAAGGTGAGACTTATAGTGCACTTCTGCTGTGGTTCCCAACCTAAGGGCCAGTAATGGGAAAACACACAAAGCATAAAAGCCACCCAAAATACATTTATTTTTCCAGGTGTTCAACCATTATTCATTCTTCTCTTTTAAATGACTGGATTATATTTAATATTGGTCAACAAATACAACAGGTTTACAAGTAAACAATGGTTGCGTTAGGTCTTACAAGCCAAAAGGGTTGGAAACGCAGCACTACTGGTTTTAACTCTCAACACTTCCTGTAACAAGGTTCTGTTCCCTCTCAGCCAATAGAAGTAGTCTATTTTTATATCAGATTCATGATCTGTATTGACAGCAAGTAAATGCATATTGAGGCATTTTAGATTCAGTGCTGCAGAAGACTACACGCATCCTTCTGTACTTTACATTTAACTTTTTTCTTCAGCCAGTATGGCACATGTGTTGTACATGGAGCAGGCTATGTTGAGCTATCAGTACATTTGGCCATTACGTTTACAGCCCCTTTGCTGTTGCTGCTTTGTATTATGTGCACTTGGATAACATTAATATCAGATGTCCCTGAAGCCGATCTGTCTTATATTATCATGATCATGGCAAAGAAACGGAATGCCATCTGCTTTAATCTTCAACTCCCACGATAGATAGTTACAGCTTGTGCTTTTATCTCTAGGAATTAAGGTCATTACGTCTATAAATGTATGCATCAGGGCTACATTGATACCATTGTGATACTAAAGTTAAGTCCAGAGCGTACTTAACTTTACTAAACATGCAGTATAAATGGTCGAATTACAGATAATGCAATCTATATGGCTTTGGAACCAAAAGTTGGAAAAACTCAAATAGCTCAAATATCCAACTTCCTAAGAGCAGGTGGCTGACCTCGACATCATAATCATTGAAAGTTTAAAACAATGCTCGAGGAACACAAACAAGATCCTTCTCTCAGACTGATGTATTCATTATTCTTAACAGGAACAAACAACATATGTATACACATTTAAACCTCATACAAAGAAGTGAAAGATACAAACAACGAATGTTAAACATCAGCTCCCATCTTAGCTTGTGGCTCCGGTGACAAGATAACATCACAGGTATTTTAAACATGGCCGGAATGCACGAGATCCATCCACTTAATTCATTACCTCGGAGTCTCCGGCCTTTGTAGTCGGACGTAATTAGTCCCAGAAGTAGGGCATTAGGGCCTGAGGCCGGCCCCTCCCTCTCTTGTAGGTTTGCTGTCTGTGATCCTGTGATGTTGTTTCTCTGCTGTCAACCAAAAGCTTTAGAAGCTGCTAAATAGCTACTATTAGAAGGTGAGCTGTCACTTATAGGATCCTGCTAAGACATGAAGCAGCTGATCAGGTGTGTGAACTGCTGGGGGTAGAGCCACACTCGGGGCCTGGGTCTTTGATCTACAGACGGCTGCTTGTTGGATGCACTGAACAATATTCAGTTTAGTGCGCGTTATATGATTGATATGCAAACTTGTCCAATTAGCTCTGAATGGTAGTAAACACAAAGACCTCTGTAAGAGATACTGTCCAGGCCTCTTTTTTTTAGGTCTTATTAGCTCCGCCAAGGAGGTTTGTTTTTTTATCAGGGGGATTATGGAAAAACTACTGGCCCGATTTTAAACTTTGTGGAAAAGTGTAGTTGGGCCAAGTAAAAAAACATTACATTTCAGAGGGACCCTGTATCACAGGGCAGATACATGACGTTTCACCTTTATTAACGTTGGGTTTGATTTGAACCTGTTGTACGAAGGCCCGATCTAGCCATCTTTTAATGGTTATATAACTCTGTTGTCATTAAAGTAATTGCTCAGATAACATCACAACAATAAAGTCAGGGGAAGCACAAACTGGATCATTGGACCAAACCGTTTGATCAAGATTATCCAAACAAATGTATTTGGAACTGAAATATCAGTAACAAGTTTGTCCTTTTACAACATAACAATGCATACACAACTATGGCAAGTACAGTGGTTCATAATTAAAACAGGACCTTTTGGATAGAATTAAGTTTCTTTGTTCACTTCCAAAGACAGATGGTATATGTGGTAAAAGAGAATCCCTTTATTGAAATGTCCGTATATTATCAAAGAAACAACGTTTGCTTTCAAGTGATTTGTTTTGATCATGGAATTCAACCATACAACATAATGTGGCATCTTATTAACTTTTGTGTCCTTTTGCTTTAGGCTCTGAAGCCTTCTAACCATGCCACCATCCAGAGCATAGTGCGGGCGGTGGGCGTCGTCCCCGGCATCCCCGAGCCATGCTGTGTCCCAGAGAAGATGTCTTCTCTCAGCATCCTCTTCTTCGATGAAGACAAGAACGTGGTGCTGAAAGTGTACCCCAACATGACAGTAGATTCTTGTGCCTGTAGATAGTTTATTCCCCCCCCCCCCCCCCCCCTTAAACGCCTGTTCATAAAAAAACTCAGCAAAGAAAAAAAATGCAGCCAAAACGACACTCTCTCCTCCTGTTCTCTCAGTCTTACTTTCCTTCACTTCCAAACCCCCCTTTGAACCCAACTTCCGTTTTGCACTGGAGGAGAGTGGCGCCTGTTGTTCCAGGTGAAGAGGAGACTGTTCATGGGAAGGAATGGATCCTGTGAGTTATCCTCGTGGCAGATAACTGGAATGGAAAGTCAAATCTCCATGCTCCCATTTCACCACTTTATGTCTTTACCATCGCTGCTCAACTATCCGTCAGGCGATGAATGAATCACAAACTCAGTATCAAGCTATGCAAATGGTGATCGAGGCATAATAGAGGCAAGAACTGAAGGAAAAGTCTCTTTTCAGTTCAAACTGATGCCTCTGTTGTGGATCATTCTCATCTTTCTCTGCTTTACAGCTTGAAGTTGTCATTACCACCAAGTCTATGCTCGCACTTGCATGGTTTTTGTTACTATTTGTATCTATTTATGTCTGTACTATCACTGTGTTATTCACTATATGAGAAGTTATTGTATAATTATTGGCTTGGCTGCTATAGAGAGATATATTAGATTCCAAAGCCAGAATTGTGATGTAGACGGTACAGTAGATAGCCGTACATATTTGTGTTTAGCTCCGTTGTTGTACAGAACCCACATTTTTAAGAGTTTATTATATTCGGAAGTGTAAGCTACTTTTCATTCGTGGTCTTCGTTAACAGTTGGAATTGGGGAGTTTTATTATTGGTTCGCCAAGAAAAGGTTTTACAAGCAAATCATTTTCAAAAATATAAAGGGATACAGCATATCAAAAGGATAAACATTGAACAAGGGATGTCATCGTGTGTTTTTCACAAGTGTGAAACCACAGGACTCAATGCTCAGAAAGAAGAGTTGTAAAATCTTGGCAGACATACAGTAAGGGATTAATCAAAAAGGTAAATATGAGTCTTAACCTATTTGTTGTTGGTAGTCAGTTTAGAACAATATGCCAGTGCATTATTTTAAAAAGTATTTACAGAGTAGGATAACATTTATGAAAAAAACGTTCATAAACTGCCAGAAACTACGTTGGCTGACCCATGCAAGCGCTACAACGGCCCTATACACTTACACTATTAGAAAACGCGCTGCACTTTCAAAAAATATACAAATAAAAAATGCCAACTTGATGTGTCATGAGCACGGTTTACTCAAAATAACTGCATAAACGAAATGCTGTAAATACAAAACGCTGCTAGAAGCTCAAAACACAACGTAAACCAGGGGACAGTAACTAGTGATGCACACAGCTGGGACTCAAGCGCTTGTTGACGGTCGGGGATTCTAAAGTTGGCCAACTGTCAATATCAATGACTAGGTTAGCTACGTTAGCTAGCTAGCTTACAGCAGATGCGAAATGATATCGGAAGGAATCGTACTGTCACATTGTTAAAAAAAGGCAATAAAACTTATATTTTAGGTAAGTCTCCAGTGAAACTGACAGTTGGCCAACTTCATAAACCCTGAAAGTCAACAAGCGCTCCGGTCCCAGCTGCGTGTCCCTGTTTCTGTTTGGTTTTGAGCTTCTTGCAGCGTTTGAATATATACAGCGTTAAGTTGGTGAAGATGTTTCTTCATTTGCATGTGTTTTAGCACATTTGTGTTTTTTTATATGCATAATATTTTTGATCTTTCAGTGCGTTTCTCCTAATGGAAGTGTTTTGGGCCGTTATAACGCATTTGCACCCGTCGGCCACCGTAAGAATCCTTCTAGGAAAATCAATTTATAAATAAAAGAAGTCTGTATCAAGTACACACTGCTGAACTGTACATGACCTTAAGGCTCCTTATTTATGGGTTGGGGTTAGATGTTGACCAATAGTCATTGAACATTTCACTTACAAGTTTGAGATATCTTTGTTTTTTCTGCTACCAAAAAATGGAAGTGATTCTGTTTCTGCTAATTAAAAAGTAAAGATGACTATAAATAAAAATGATGAGTAATACCTATAATATATTGAAAGATCAAGAAGATCTGATCTATATATTTCTTGGTAGCATAAGCCTTTAATATGACTGTATAGAGCAGATTTATATAAATCATTAAGGGGGGTCTTTTTCGATCACATGTACTTTGCTTCAGGTCAGCATTTGAAACAAAGAGCAGTTACTGTGTCATAATGTTGCGGGTGTGAATTATCATCAGAGTTCATAAAACCAAATATTTATTCAGAGCAAATAGACTGAAATATAACAGCAAACCTTTTTTTCTATAGACTTGTACATTGTTTTTGTATATAGCTCACAATACGATGATGATATTCCAATGTGTCTTTGAGATAGAAGTGCCTTTTGAATGGGTGGATTCCTGATTTGATTCATGGCCTTTTCAGAGCTCAGTTTGTAATGACGCTGAAGTCAAAGCAAGCAGCCTGGAATAGTTATTTTGATGGTACAAAATAGTCTACAATGAGTGAACATAGTGCATATTCTTTTGAAAAGTATGAAGTAGAATTTATTCCAAAATGTATTACAATAAATTCACTATTTTGATATTTCAGAGACATTTATTTTGTGTCAGGCAGATTTTTTAACCTTATATATTTTGTAATGATGCTTTTTCCAGTTTGTGCTTCTTCATCTTGTGCCAATACAGATTTTATCAAGGCGTGTTAGAATCAAATGGCGTCCACTGGTTGTGCCAGTACAACATTGCAGACTGCTGACAAGTCGTTTTCGGGGCTTTTCTTTTTACGTATTTGAACCCGTTTCTAAACCTCACTAATGTATTTTGGAGTACAAATATCGAAGACCCTTATATACCGTACATATCAGCAGTTTATAAAAGCTTGCTCACCGTTCAACACTATCTTGTAAATGTTATGCTGTAGGTAAAAAAATAAATGCTTGTACAATAAGCTTCATAAAATATATTTGTATATGGAAAAGACCTTAACATGCATCTATTTATTTTCTGTATGTTGCATATCTTGTACAGGTGTGGCCAAGGGACAAACGCTCTGATATGTCGATGGTCTTTATATCTGTGATGGACATCTGCCACCTTTAAAGTGTGGTGAACCGCTTTAAAGGTCCTCCATCTGCGCTCTGACCATCCTTACAAAGCATTCAAAGACATGAATAAAAGTATGCAAGACTCAGATTTATCATCAATTTTTTATTTTGGTTTTCAAGCATGATTTGGAAGGTAGTCGCACAAAACAACGCACAATTCAAAAATTCAGAAATTGTAGTTTATTTTTCACTCCTATTTTACCATTCTGCAATATTTCTGAATTCACTACATTAGCAACATTAAGGAGCGTGCTCAATAATGGCCTTGGCTAGCCTGGTAATATTGAATTGCTACCCAAAAACCTCATTTATTTTCAAAATGAAGTCAGACATGAGTTCCCCATATAGTGGTGCAGTGACACCACTTTTATGTTTTTTGAAGCCTAAATGCATTCACCAGTATTAAAATGCTAACATTACTATAAAAGAACTACATCAAAGAACTACATCAGGGTCACATAAAGGCTAACTCATGTTCTGATTGACAATGTTTTATAGTCTTATTTAGAAACTTGTTATCATCCGCCATTTTTGGGACACAGAAGTTTTAGACATTTTCAAAAACAATTGACAGGACGTGTTCGTGCACCACTTTAGTTTTGGCTGATTCACCGGTTGTAGATTCAGAGCTTTGTGGGAAGGTTTCAAAATGTGTACATCATTTTTTGCTAAAGCTAGCACTGGAAATTACCATTAGAAAACATGTATTGATGACATTAGGGCTGTACCGAACAGCTTTGAACCTTCACTTATTAGCATTCGATATCCATATCAGCATGTTGATGTTGCAGGGATTTGTATTCTTTTTTAGCACGTCAATTCATTGTGTTTGCGTCTTGTATTCCTGCAGATAAATATAAGCCTGCACAATGGTTGCATAACTAGATTCCAGTGGTGTCTGCGAGAGGATTGTTCCCAACTCGTGGGATACAAAGTTTTCCAATAACTGTCAAGTGGAAATGTATTGAAAGGTGCTGTCTAACTAAATATTCTGCTTCAACCCATATTTGTTGGTTCTATCGCAAAGAAACCAAAATGTTTTATTGTTTCTCTCGCACTCGAACCACACAAAGACTGACACGCACTGATTAGTTATTTCCATTAAATATTTATTAAATATTTATTTATTATTAACCGTGGTGTTTTAAGTGATAAGACATACGGAGCTTCATTCTAACACCCTAAATAGAACCTTCACATTATAAAAATGACATTCGGTTTGGCTATTGCAAAACAAAACATAACATAACTTTCTGCCAAACATACATTTGCTTACATTAACATGACGTCATGATTATTTAGGTGAATTGAATACAAATTAAATTTGTCCGGCCTTGAACTGCAGCAATTATTAATGTCATTACAAACCTCTTTGTTTGACAAGTCAAAATGTCCTCAGTGAGAAAAGATCTGCAACTATTGGTATTACATTTAAAAAAAACGATAATCTGTTGTGGCATAAAATAACATTTAAATGACCACCTAAGACCAAAGAAAGTCAAATAAAGAAAACGAACTTAATCTGAAATATTAACAAACTTTCCTGAAGTAGGTTTTAATTATCTTAAGGCCACAGCTTACCCAGAAACGTCAGGCATCCATACACAGACATTATAACACACTGTACATACTGTACACACACATTCACCAGTGAATGTATACATATATGTGATATTTACAAAACTCACTCACCCAGTTTTTACATAAAGGAACAAGTAGCTCGGATTGTATAAATTGTGTATTTTTTATGCTTGTGCTTTACAGTATACAGTATATACAAAGACACGTGGTACACAGTTGATTTACTGTAAGCCTCAATGTGTTGAAGGTTTACAGTAAATCAACTATACCCGTATTTTTAAGCATAAACTCGAGTTTGACCTCTTTGCTGCTT